AATATTAGCTGTTTCAATCCAGGCAATATATCTTAATTTCCACACATTAACACTAACCAGATAATATCATACAACTAGGTTCAACAAGACCAAATAGACATGGTGCAGTATTTTCTTGGTAAAAAATAGCAATAACTATTTTTGACCCAACTAATGACATGAACCCTTATGGATTATGAACTCTTATGTTCAGTCTCCATATGTACACATGTTAATCACTAGATCTAAGAGGTAATTTTTGTATCACGTCGTTTGACTTGTTACTAATTTCACTTGAGAGACATGGAAATGCTAACTTTTAAAAGGTATTTTTTCTATGTATGTATACATGAAAGTGCTAATACTAAGGTAAATAAGGTACTAAATACGTATATCTTAAATTATAGGTTAAAAACAAAGCAAGAAAACGATTTTTGCATACAAATTTTAATTTGTTTTTGGCTCCTTGGCAAGGCATTAATATGATAGCACAAGTCCTAAATCTTGTCATCGTCTCGGCTAATACTTTATGAAAATCATGTTTACGGAAATGTTAAGGAATTTTTGTTTTGCCAATATTATTTACAATATATAATTTATTCCTCCAATAAATACATAGATGTACTAATATACAAGATACATACATACATGTTCAATTGTAACAAATATAATTGAATACTTTAACACCTCACACAACTATTATAAAATACTAGCGACTTACCCTCACTCTGCTCGTGTACATCCCTAGGTGGTTTTTTTTATAGCGCCACCTTGTGCAACATTCTATTAGTCCAGTCTTATACCAGAAATTTTAATGCAAATTCGTCCATACCGTTTTTTTTAACTTTGTCGGAGTTAACTTTGCTATCCACTCCTATTTCGCATGTTGTAAAATAGGCAAAATAGTTTGGTCTTTGAAGGAATGTTAGGAAAAATCGCCATAACAACAAATCAGTGACAGCTTTCGCATCAAAAATCGTATAATAAGTTCCCCGAAGCTATAACCGTATTCTAGGCATACGTACAAAATAAGTAATCGTTGATGGTCCGCGCGCGCCTCTAACGGTGGTGATCCTTCCAGCTTGCCGGCTGATTGTATTCAAATATGGCGCGATTCTGGCTTATACAGCGGGTTCGATCTCACTTCATTAATTAGACTAATAATGTTTATTTCTAATTAAAATCAATGCATTTTTGGAATTTCGCATTTTATCATAAAAAATTTACCATTTTTTTTAATTTCATGTTTTTCAAAAAAATGGTAAAATACAATACGTACATGTTTTATCAAAAAATTTGTATTTTTTTATTAATTTCTAAAATAAAAATAAAATATTATTATTATATCAATGCTTGCAGTTTTTTTTTGTTTTTTATGTACAAGAAAAGAATTTCTATAATTATTTTTTCTTCTTTCGCGGGAGAATCCCTGAAATTTTATGGTTAAAATATAGAACGAATACCTAGTTATTTAATAATAATCTTAATAATTTATATCAAAATTAAAGTATTCTTCTTTCCAAGAATATACTTAATAATTATTTCAATTTTCATATAATCTTTAAAAGTTTGTGGTTAATTGTAAAAACCTTTATTATGTCGTTTAATCTTTTAGTTTATAAAATAATTATGAACATTTTCAAATAAAAATAAGCCAATTCGGATTCTACTCTACTATTAAACAAGCGAACAGCTTCTAATATTGCTGTTCAGGTACATATTATATGCATGTAGAAGTATAAGGTAAGGTAAAATAATATTAATATCGTGAATTTCATTATTGCTTCAATATATATATTTATAATTCACTAACATAAAGTACAGCCTCCTTTAAAATGATCTTTATTATATAAAATCTATATCTTGTATCGTCAATATAAGCCCTGAGGTCTGAACTGTTAATGTTGAATTTTAAATGATCTAGGTATTCATGTATTATTTAAAGATATTTAAAAAGACCCACCCTGTGTATCCAAATGTGTGAGTGGTACGTTATTCGCAGCGCGTGCGCATCTCATTGCCGCGTCTGCGCGCGTCCCGCTCTATGAATACCATTAGGTACTGGATTTGATATTTTTTTAATCCATCATACATGCCGACATTGTAAGTAAAAAAGTTTTTCCTTTGTTCTTGTAAAAAAGCCTATCGCTTTTTTGTCGTTTTATTTATATTAACTACTTATCGTCCACTAGAATTATATATTTATGTACAAAATATACATTCTAAGCCTTTATTGTCAGCAAAAACATATTTAAATTGAGTATTTTCTTTAAATACTACGTAGAAACACAGGTGTGGAGTACGAACGGTTCCTAGGTCATCTATTTTTATCATTTAAATATTTTATGATCAGGCTTTTAACAAGGTATGTAGTAAAAATGTTTAACGCAACGTATAAACTTATAAATTACCTAATAGATTTTTGCTTATAAAATTATATAAATCTATACATATAATAAAACTGTATGGTACTGGTCGAATGTCTGTACATCGAAAAAAAATGATATATTTTTTACAAAACTATGAATGTTGTAAATATCAACTTAATTTTTTAAATATTATTTTTTAACTAACGAATAAAGAAGATAAGACTACGAATGAGTTTCATTTCTTTTTGTAAATACCTTAAAAAAACAATAAATTTAACTCCAAAATCGATCAAAAACTAATAACATACAATAAATTCAGAAAAATAATAAGATAAATAGATTCCACGGACAAAAAATACAACAAAAATGGTATACTTTACGTGAATTCCAACTTCTATTATTTAATAAATTGGATAATAACGTACACTTCTTCAATGATAATTGAAAAAATTTACAAAGTAAATATTATCGATTTCTCCAATTTTTAACATTTTTAAGGGTGTTTTTACAGGACGACCATACAATGTTTTTATTTTATCAAAAAGTAGAGTTCAAGGCAAAAAGAATGAGCCATAACTGATAATTGAACAAAAAAAAATTTAAATGTAAAAATGTGTAATTTTTGAATGTGACGTTGGGGGTCATTTTCAGCCTCTTGAGACCATAAAACATACTTTTCTCAGAAATGGCTAAACATTTCAATTTTATTTTTATTTATCATATGTATTTCGAAGATTACATTCCCTTCGTTTCATGAAAATCAAAAGATTATTCTAGAAATTAAAAATTAAAAACGAAGCAAAAGTTAAAAGCGTGATTTTTGCAAATATCTCGAAAACTTAAAGACTATTTTAAAATGTGCTATTTATAAATGTTGTAGATTTTTACTAGACCTACAACTTTGTTTTTTCGATAGAACGTCACAGTAAACCGGAAATCGAAAAAAACTATTTTTCTACGCTTTGCGTCCCCCCATTTCTCGGGGATAGCTGGGCATCGGGGGCATTTTACGAATTTCTATTCCTTATATACTTGCTAACATTTTAAAATCATAAAACTTCAGGTTTTCAATATTTTGTTTCCAAACCGGATTCCGATTAAACTATTAAGAGGATGCATGAAATGTGTTTGATACTTAAAATTTACTTAAAACTTTTTTGTATTATTCCTCCAATAATATTTCGACGAGGATGGGATTCGAACCCACGCGTGCAGAGCACATTGGATTAGCAGTCCAACGCCTTAACCACTCGGCCACCTCGTCTTATACATAGAGTTGTAAACAATAAGTATACTAATATATATAACCTACCGATGGGCAAAACATATCTTATCTTAATATATGCTACTTTACACGTACCTACTACATACAACATGGGTGAGGCCTCGGCACAGACATTTGTTAGTTCATAAATTTTGTCAGTCTTAAAATTTTTATTCATAAGATTAAGGATATATATTTTACATGACTAGTCTAGTAGCTAACATTAAATTTTTCGTATTTTTGATACATATATGTACATACAATAACAAATATTTATTTGATAAAATACTAAGTAAAAAAAAACAGATGGCCTACCATCAACTTTTACATAGCGATATATTCCGATTCTTCTAGTTTTCGTTTCAGTAACAGTGTTGTAAGCTGGATCGTAACTGAATCGAATCATTCAATCAAAAAAATCATTCATTCAATGCAATGAATGACATTAACGTTGAAATTGTACAATAATAGTAAGATAATTACACAATACAAAAATGTCACGATGATTGAAAATGAAAATACGTAAATAATGAGAACTATATTATAATTTAATTTTATTATCTAGTTTGTTTGTTGTTTAGACTGCTGTCGACGCGCGAATGATGGAAATGATTGTCAAGTCAATGACTCAGTAAAACGATTAATTGACAACTTCAATGGCTCCTGTCAATGAGCATCAACTAAAATTTCCATCAATTTCTTTCAATCACGTAACTGCGATTGACAATCGCTTCAATTGTACTTGTAAACGATCAATGGCAATTGACAATAACGTAACATTGACAATTGCGATGATCGTCCTGGATAGATAACTGAATATCTTATGAAGCTCGTGGCACAAAATGCCGAAATGATTCATTTTAGATCGTAAATTTAGTAGCAATAAGAATTAGCCCTCTGATCTATACATATTAAACATCGCTTAGTTCTTTTAAACTTTGCATCGGCCGGCACCGATTTCGAAAATATCTGATTAGGTCTCTATTCTAAATGATAACCTCGGTTTAGTTATTTTTTACATTTTAGTGCCTAGAAGTCGTTTTTTTTATGCTTTTATTTTTCCATTTTTAGTGTAGACGTAATAAGCAGGTAATTTGCAAAAAGAAAGTTTTTAATAACATATTCAATTAAAAAATTTATTTATTGTTGATTTCTTTAAAAACCGCTGGACCGATTTCGAATAAATTTATATGGAAAGTATACCCTTTGAAACAAAAAAAATCCAAATCGGTTCAGGCGTCTTCGTGTAATCGATGAACATACATTAAAAAAAAAGATTCCGACGAATTGAGAACCTCCTCCTTTTTTTGGGAAGTCGGTTAAAAATAAAGATGTTTTTTATCAAATACAGTTGTGAGTATAGATCAGTATATTTTGGTACATTTCTATAAAGTTTTTGTTTCAGCTATTCGACTGCCGTCTTGTAGATTCGTCCGAGCATTGGTTCTCGCTTGTCTATTGGCGGATGGGCTTCTGACGTGAAGAACAGATTCCACTACAACTTCCTCTATATACTGCTTGCCATTGTTATCTGAAAACGACGAAATATACAAGTTATTTTCCATTTTGGAATTTACTAGGGGCTTAGATAAGCCCTAACTCCACCATTTTAACGTTGACATCAACATATACCTACATGACAATATCTATAATTGCAGGTAATTTCTTCCTATGTGCTATTTATTACTAACAGTACTCTAAGACATAGTCTGTGTGCTTTTCAACAAAATCTGGTCAGCCGTTTTCGTTTGAAGAAGTAACAAACATTCCTACCCAAATACAAACTTACGAATTTATATATCTATTTATTATATATAATCTATTAGTTTATTTAGCTATCAGTACGATAATTTTAATCTATACATTTAATAAAATTCTAACTGGGTCGCATCTGTACATTAAATAGTTTTTGGAAAATCTTATTGAAATAGTCTTTATTATCGAGACAGAGGCTGAATCTACAATTTTTAAAATTTTCTACTGACTGTCTGTATGTCTGTGACTGCATCACTAGAAAATTCTTTCGGCGTCGACGTGTGATGTTAAGTCAAACCAAAGAATAAAATTCGAAAGTTCTGATTGTCTGAACATAAATTTTAACTTAAATACATCACAAAAGGTACGTGTTTAAACGAAACCACGAGCGATTTAATTTTTCATCCGAAAAGCAAAAGACAAAAAGAGATTTGAAAAAAGCGCAATTCAATTTCGATTTGTGCACTTCTTTTTGAGGACACTTAAGAGATGTTAATTGTGTATCATGAGTTTTTGTATATCAATGATAGAGACAGAAGAATGTTCTCAATCCGACTTGAAAAAGTAAAAAGGTTGATGTTATTTTTTATATCTATTTCTATAATTAATCAATGCTCATTTAATTTGTAACATATTATTGTTATCTTGGCCTATTTTTATTCTTAAAATATTATATTTTTAAGACATGTAAGCTTGTGCAAATAAATATTGGATTACCCCTATAAGTCCATTGTTCTACATCGGTGCTATTACCATATAGCTAGACCTGCTTCAAACAACACTGCGATCTAAACCAGTCGTGCATATTTGTTTTATTGTTTTATCTATCAATAGTATTGGCGCCATTTATTTTTAGAACTAAGTTTGCATTCTTTTCGCATCCGTCGTGTACATGATTGGAAAAAAACATAGATACGATGTTGCATTCAATTTGAAATAAAAAACGGCATCGAGCGACTGGTGTGGCTTTTCAAGCCTGAATGTTAAGATGATGAGATTTCTTCATAATGGATAGCGGATTTATTTAGCAAACTAAGCAAATTTTTGTACTTAATAATTATATTACATTCAGTCTAGTTTATTCCAATGTGCCTGAATGGTAGATATCAGAAAATGTAGTATCATCTACAAAAAATATATTCTTTTAATTATATGAACACATATCACATTTGTATGGAATATTTTTATGATAATCAGAAAAAAATAAAAATAAATGTTCATATTATGAAACATAGTAAGTCAGCGCGTAACACGATAAAAATGAATAATTATAAAGTATTACGAATACGTGTCTATTGCATCATATAATATATTCGAGATGATTAGTCATTATAAACTCTTATTGGAGTGCAAGTTAGAACTTTAGTCTCTAAATAGATAGCGTTATTGCCTTTGTTAGAAATATGTCTGCGTCGTGAACCTATTAAAATATTCCTTTTGAACGGGAATCGAATGCGTAACTATGATTTATTTAAATTTGTATCAGTTAACTAAAATGTTTTAGTATATGTATTTGTAAAAAAAACTCGAGTTGTATTTTTATATAGGTGTGTGAATACTTAAAAATCGGAAACTTTATAGCATTTTTTGAAAATAATCATAATGTGGGATACTTGTATCCAGTTAAATATTGACGGCCAGCATCAAGTTTGCAGGGTTGTAGCTCTGAGCTTGGCTTCGGTGTGTATGCACCTTTAGATCTGCTCTTCCAATCTAAATGAAAGTTTGTTACATATTAATTATTACAGATTTTATACAAATACCTCACTTCAAAAAACCCAACAAATTTTAAATCGTTATTGGTAAAAAATGAAAAACAACTGAAAATATGATGACTATGAATATGATGATAATAGATAATATGATTTTTATTAAATAAATAAATATGTTAAGACATTAACAAACAACACTATCTAGTTCCATGGTAAGCTACGAGGCCTGTGTTATGGATACTAGATAATTGATTAAATGCATATATATTATAAATATAAGCACCCATGACTGAATTTCAAACATTCATGCTCATTGCACAAATTGATCCCCAGCGGGTTTCGAACCCGCGATCGCTGGGCGCTGGCAAAGCAAGTAGGGTCACTACAAACTGAGCCAAACGTGTCGTCAAATGGGAATGCAACCAATTTTTTTTTCCAAGCGCAATTCTTTCAAAGGGTTTTAGATATTTATTATCAAGTAAACCTGCAGGTAACAGCTGGTATCTATCTGTTGTACAAACAGTTGTGTAAACGAAAACTACTTATAAGTTGTTGCTCTACTTACGTATTTATAGTAAGCTCTACATAAGCGAAACCAGTTTATACTTCAAATGATCTTTTATAGGTATATACATGATATATCGTAGATTAGTATATCGGTTTTCAAATATCGTAATATATTTTTATATAATTTAAATGAATATATAGTTCTTTAATATGTTTTAATAAAGTTAAAAGTACCTACTATTTAAAATTATTTTATTGAATTGTCTTTGTCCAGTATAAAAATTAAAGTGTTCAGTGTTGTCATATTCGATATATGTAAACACTAGAGGCGAACTCATGCGAAGCGAGATTGAGCAAACAAAACCAAATCTATCCCACGGGAACCGTACATTTTTCTAGCCTATGTGCTATTCCAGACTATAATTTATCTCTGTGCTAAATTTCATCAGAATCTGTTTAGCCATTCTGGCGTGAGTGAGTAACAAACATCCCAACATCTATCTACACTTTCACATTTTTAATATTAGTAAGATTAGGGTTTAGATAGAGAAATATTGGTAGAGTGGGAGTTCACCTTAACTTTCCGTAAGTCTTGTATTATAATAATATCAATTTAGATAGTACAAAAGTAAGAAGAATATATAATAATTTCATAGCGCCACCACTCACCAGCCACAAAGTGGCGCCGATAAATATATACTATACAATTGACAAATCTGTCTTTTAAAAGATATATATTATTAAAAATAGCGCAAACAAATAAAGGCTTAGTAAAAGAGTTCCTCTTCTAGGTCTAAGGGTCTGGACCTTTTGGGAATGAAGCCTTAAAATACCCTATCGGCTATTCAATCAATGACCGTTCCTATTATTCCAGCTTCAATTTTTTTGCAACATAAAAATGTAATGCTGTTATGTATTACTCCAAGTCATTGTATCTACTTGTCTTTCGTCTATATTCGTCCAGTTGTTTCATCGTGGAGAAATAACTTACATACACACACATATACACACACAACTTTCACATTTATATGTATAATAGTACTAGATTTTGCCCATGGCTTCGCTCGCGCGCTATGTGGGGCGGGGATGAAAGGTAGCCATTATCCGTCTCCAGGATGCAATCTATGTACTTGCTAAATTTTATCGAAATCTGTTCAGCAGTTTAAGCTTGAAATGATAACAGAGTAACTTTCAAATTTATAATATTAACATGGAAATGTGATAAAGTATTATTAATGCTAAATATTAATTGTAAATAGTACTTTTGAATGAGACCTCTAAATCATTACTTACCATTATTTCCAAATTCTATCTTAGACTGAGGTGCTGCGAAAACCAAAGCGATGAATAAAGCAAAGATCACTATTAAAACACGCATGATGTATGAAAATAATATGGTAAAGATATATAATAATATGTATGTAGCTACTCGTTGGAAGACAGTACGCGAGTGTCAACACTGTGGTTTGCGCACTATCTAAGACGAAGTGGGCTATTCTCATATCAATAATAATGCAATTAATATTATAATAATAAATAATATTGAATAATAATTAAGAGTCATGTCAGGAGTCAGCTATCAATAAACAGATAAAGCATTAAACTGTAGAAAATTAAAATTATTTGTATTTTCCTATAAGAAATACTGATTTTACTGCAATGAATTGTTAAATATGTTAATTTTTAACCCTGCTACTGAAAGTTTTTGTGTAATAAATCATTGAAATTCTTGTATGAAGGGAAATGAAAAGTTTTCCTGTAAAATCTATCCTAAATGTTGATTTGATTTATAAATTATCACTATATAAAAGGTTGAAATCATTCAAATAGTTTTTGCGTTAAAATAACAGATATACAGACATACATACCAAAATTTTAACAATTATTGTTTTGGAGTCTATATTTCGTACAACAAACACTATACATAATATATTCACGGTTCTTAAAAAAGAATCATGGACAGATTTCGCTTTGTTCCTATTTTATTATACGTTTTAAAATATTCCATACTTTAAGCGTAACAAAAGATATAAAACATTGAAATGTTCAAATAAAATATTCTCTGTTATATTACTATTATTTCATTATAACTTGATTACATTACTGACGCTTTGTTTTAAAGTTAATATTATATTCTATTATAATAAAATATCTTTCGATTTAATTTTGATTATATTATATGTAGAGACGACAGAATGACCCACAGTATCATTGCATAAAGCTGTGGTGGTGGGTGAGAAGGTGAGTAAATGCAATTCATTTTTATATACGGGGTTTAGTGATGTAAGTAGCGATGAGCATAGCGATTAAATTATATAACTTACGTATTTAACTAGTACTTAGTACGTACTTTGAGTAGATTTTTTTTTTCTAAATCGATTTAGCTCTATAAATTCTAAAATTATCATCAAACTTGCCTTTTTTACCCGACTGCGCCAGAAGGACGATTGCGAGTTTCGATTTTTGTGTATGTATGTATATGTGTTTCTTTGGCATGCTCTGTAGCCTAAACGGCTTGATGGATTTTAACTTAAGAGGTGTCGTTAGATTGGTCTTAAATGTGAAAGTGATACTATCAAATGATAAAAATTAAAATGACCGATTTTTGTTGCTATGTTTTATTCTTCAAAACCTATTGAATGGGGTATTAAAATAAATAAATTACAAAAATTTATATGTTTAAATGTTATTAAAAACAACAAATAAAAAAATTACTTACAAAATTAAAAAATATATAACAATATGTTCCTTCGTCAACTTGTTTTCATCTTTTTAGTTAGCTTTTTACGCAGTCAGGATTATAATTTAGTATATGATTTTTTTTATTTAAAATGTTTCTAAAATAAGTAATATAACTAGTTTTTAGAAACGACACATTTAAAAATTTCGAGGTGAACACGTTTTTAGATGACTTCCTCATATTTTGATTATCATCTTTTATTAGAAGGTTTATAATTTTAAATACATTGTCTTTTGTTAACTTATTACTACTAGAGTGTTGCTTCCTGTTCCGGTTAAAGACGGTAGAGAGATCTCTTTAGCAACTTCAAATCAGTAGTTGCAGATTTTATTTCCTACAAACAAATTTAAGTATATCCAAACTTCAATCAATACAATTTTTTATTTTTTTATTATTATCTTTAATGGTGTCAACCGCGGCTTCACTTGTGTAGTTTACTTATATATAAAATTAACGCCCTCAAAAGGTCGTGACGTTCGATAGACTATAACCTTCCTCAATAAATCCATACTAATATTATAAATGCGAAAGTAACTCTGTTTGTTTGTTTTGTTATCTTGGTTTGCTATTATAGTTTGAGATCCTGGAAAGGACATAAGATAGTTTTTACCGGAAATCATCATAAGGGGGTGAAAAATGTGTTGGAATTTTCTATGGAGAATCAATCATTTCTAAAGTAGCTAAGGGATATAACACTCATCATACCTATGTATATATAATCTATCTATTCCATACTAACCGTCAAAGAGTACCTAGGGATTAACCCGAACGAAGCGAGGGCGAGTCGCTAGTCTATACATATAATAAAATTCTGAGTTGAATCTGTACATTAAATATTTTTTGGAAAATCTTATTGAAATAGACATTATTATCGATACAGAATCTATAGTATTTAGAATTTTTGTCTGTCTGTCTGTTTGTTACCGCATCACGGAAAAACTAGTCGAAGAATTTTGATGAAATTTGGCATGATGGTAGCTGGTTATCCGGGTCAACATATAGGATATTTTTTACTGCGGGAAAATATCTCATCTTTGAGAAATCTATACTAAACGTTGAAACATAAGTAAGGACGTAAGTAAGGAACTTACAATTTTATTATATGTATAGATTATTTACGGTATTTATACGAAAAACATAATTTTATTTTTTTTTGTCAGTCTTTCTGTTTGTTCCGGCTAAACTCAGAACGGATCAGATAGCTGATGGTATAAGGAGAAACTTAGGCTACTTTAATTAAAAAAAATAAAACTATAATAAAAAAAACATTATCTATTTGATGTTACTATTATTATTTGTACAATAATAGTATTAAAAATTAATTTTATTTTACATCGTCACAAGCAAAATTTATAGTGTAAAACGTAATTTATTATTTATTAAATTGTTATAAAATCAATGATTGATAGTCAACGAATGACCGACACGAACGTTAGCTTTTATGATCTAATCAATTACTCGCGAATGAAATGCAGACAAAAACTAGTTTAATATGCTCGTTATGAAGCCTTTGTGCTCGGCAAGAAATTGTAACTCAACGTGCGTATGTTTACTACGAAGTAATTAACGTTAGTGCCAATGTACTGACGTATATGCCCATACGAGTTGAGCATCTCAATTATTCGAAATAGTAAGTATAATAGATTGTGAAGCGATTATCTTTTAATGTAGCAGTCTTGAAGAGTTTATTTTTATAGTCTTAAATAACTAATAGAATATACAAGAGGCGTTCTTCGGATCTTCTCGAAAACGATGATATATATTTTATAATAATATTTTCTGTCATGATATACATTTTAGCCAGGGCCGGATTATCCATAAGACAGTTTAGGCAACTGCCTATGGGCCCCGTATCGGCTAGGGGACGCACGTAGAAAAAAAATTGAAAATGTATCATCGAGTGAAAATTTAATTTAATTTTTTTTTTAAAAATAGGCGAAAATTCCACCATGAGGAGTTAGAATTCTATGAAATCTACCTAATAGCGTAATTACGAACAATGTATTTTAATAAGTTAGAAAAGGGTGAAAGAACCCTGAGAATTGCATTGCCTAGGCGTGGTTAATTCAGCCTTGATTTTATCCTCTACAAATTATATTAATATTTCTCCATAAATTCGCACAAAGAACAGCGCCATCTATCGGGCCTAAATTTATTCTATTGTTTTCCTTGGTATTTAATCATATGAGCAGAGTCCACAGAATTTCTTAATAATACTAGTATTATATGATCTGTGTTAATAATTTGACTTCATCGCCATCTATAGGATTCTACCATAGTCCCGAACTTCCCGAGTCGTCCCAAATTTACATGACCACTTTAGATACCCACGCACGCGCGCGATGATATGCGAATCTAATCATAAAATGTTATCTGTACTTATACATAAAAATGAATACATTTTTATTCACAGTTTGGATGATAGATGTTTGTTACTCAATCACGCCAGAACGGCTGAACAGATCTGAATGTTTGGCACAGAGATAGGTTACCTGTGTGTATATATATATATATATATCTGAAATAGATAGATCTGGGTTAATTTTCCCGTGGGATAAATTTGTTTTTGTTTTTCACAGATCAAGGAATTGACTATCTATTCGATATTTACCGTTAAAACGTATCTAGGGACGAACCCGAACGAGGTATGTCGGTAGTAAATTTACATATTTCTAAACCATAGTACCACCAATGTACGATAGGTGGCGTGTGAATATACAGAGTAATTTGACTGAACATAACCACAGTCTACAAATCCATTAGACGTCTAACGAAGGCCTTTAAATAGTGTAATTGTACCGGGCGTGCGAGGTGATACGTGAATGACATGATGCCGACTATCATATACTTATACGTATACGACCTCAGGAAACTGCTTTATGGTTGATGCGTATAGTTTACATAGTGCCAATAGTTTTTATTTTTCCATTTTTAGTGTTAACGTAATAAGCAGGTAATTTGTAAGAAGAAAGTTTTTTAATAACATATTCTGTTACGCTATTTATTTAAAAAATATATTTATTTTAAATAAGTAATAATAAATCTAAATAAATAATAATAAATCTAAACATAACAGACAGGTAGATGTAGTAAGTTCTTACTGTGTAGATCAAAATGATAGCATTTCTGATTAATAATTTTTTTCACTTTTTCATTTGTAAATTTATGTAGTAATGTGTTGCTTAATAATTTGTTTTTTTTTTAAATAATAGAAAATTAAAATTAAAATTATTATTTTTTATTAATCTTAACTTTTTCAAATTACACATAGATCAATTGTGGCTTAAATAATTAATATATTATGATTTTTTCTTTATGGTTATAAATATAATAATGACAACACTAAAAATGTAGATTAATAATTAATATTTTTTAAATTGTAATAATTATAATAATAACAGCTCAAATTAAATAAATAATATTCGATATTCAATTATAAAGCTAATTAAAATTATATAAAAATGTTTAAAGTTAAAAGTTAAAATATTTTAAGGTACTTTAGTGCCATTTTTCAATTTTTTGAATTCATTTTGTTAATTGTGGGTAGGCTGTCTGTAACAACTATATAATACCTTAGAGACATCTAACACCTCAGTCCCTCCCGTGACCATGATTGCTGTAAAGCATTCGAAACGTCGGGAACCAAAAATCAAAATAAATTCGCGAAAAAATCCGAAAAGATAGTTTTATTTAAAATGTCAAGTATTCGCGTAAATCTAAGAAAGTATTATAATATATTTATTTGTTGATTTTTTTAAAAACCGCTCGACCGATTTCGATAATGTTTAAATGGAACCATCTGGGAAGTATATCCTGAGGAACAAAGAAATATTCAAATCACTTCATGCGTCTTCGAGTAATCGGTGAACACACATAAAAAAAATGATTTCGACTAATTAAGAACCTCCTCCTTTTTGGAAGTCGGTTCAAAATAAATCATTAAAAGCTTTTTTGACTTTGTTGTTTTTTAAAATAAAATACTAAATAAGTTTGAGTAGTAATACTAGTAGTATTGTCGTAAGTAAGAAAGACAGAAATTTATATTTTTCCGGGATAAAACTATCCTGTAGTTATGGACCAAAACTGGTCGACGTAGCTAGGGCCGACCTCGGCACCACACCCAACATAAATAATAATAATATCCTGTAGTTTGACCGGCAATAGAAGGTATCAGTCCAACAGTTTCTGAGATTTGCCCGTACAAACAGACAAAGAGACAGAAAAACAAAAAATTAGAAAAAAATGTGGATTTGTTCTATTTCTCTTCTTACATCCCCTGACTCGGTTTTTAGCATTTTTTTTCTATATACAGACATTTGAGCTCTACAGTTTTATTATATGCATGTATAGGTATAGATTTTGTATAAAAGGTTTCTAATTTAAAACAACTGTATGAATTTAAATTTTTCATATGATTTTTTTGGCCTTTAATTTAATTTTAAATGTTGCCTTTTAGATGAATATTTAAGACAGTTACCTACTTTTATAATTAATGGGAAAGTTTATCGTCCATATTATAACGAATAGATAATTTATAAAGTAACTGGCAAGTAATTATTAGAATATGTGATTTAGTTTGAAATGATGGTTTTTTTAATATACTCGTAATTATATAATTATGTGAAAACAATGTTATACTGTGAAGCTTAATACACTTACTCTCAAAATCATCATTCTAAATAATTATTATTTTCAAATATTTTTGTAAGCATCAACTTCTTACTACGCTATATTCTATAATCATATTACATATTCAATTCAAATCAAAATATATGTTATTGACATATAATTTTACAAAACACTTTTGAATCGTAAATTTTTACATATTTTAAAAATTCTAACTAATTGTAACATACGAGTATAAGCCCGACTGGATGCTATCATAGCCAGATACGCTATCCCTTCCAAATTTCATTTTTTTTTCTATGAGTTCATATTGAACTACTACGTTTAAGTTTTTCCAATATTGTGGACAACATTAAGATGCGCAAACCAACGAACTGGATTTTATTTTAATTTATATGTAACAGATAGATATGAGTTCGTTTTAAATCATGGTGACTTACACATTACAAATGAAATGGCCGTCACAATAATATAAAAAAAAAGAAAAGAAAACTATAACCTATTTTAAAATTATCATTCGTAGACGTATAAGGACGATATTCTTGCTAACAAAGTAAAGATTTGGGTCAAATAAAAGTTTTATTAACAAATAATAATTTAATAATAATTAAAAAACGGATCGTAAATTGGGTAATGCCACATATTTTTGAAATACCTCGTTGAAGGAATAAAATTATTGTAGATGTCATTATGAAGCCAATTTTCAACTTTTCTATTACTTAAGATATTGTTCGATGTTGCTGAAGCTCCACTTATTGGCCAAGCCATCGAATCTAAGAGATTAGTCCCAAGAGATTGCCTTATATTTGGCTGAGATGTCATTGTAGATGCTACTGCTACTGTACCAGGATATATGTTCATGAATGACGCTACATTATCTGATTTCGAAGATTCTGGATACATTTTTATGATGGCAGTTGCCATGTTTCCTTCAGCTTTTTTGAAGACTTCTATGTTTTGAGGAGAGGGAATAGGTTGATTCATTGGAGAAAAGAAGTGTATACCACCAGTTGAAGATACTCGACCGTTCCGTGATGTGAATCCTGCGACACTAGCGACTCCCATCATACCATTATTGGCTATAGGAAATTGTGTTCTATATATTTTAACATGATCATCTGTTATATCACCTGAAATGAAAAAAAAAAATTTCCGTGAAATTTCTTCTTAAGGGAGAATTACTTTAGATTTTATATTGCTAAGGAAAAATCGTTGCGCTATTTTGTATACTATCTGTCGTAATTACATTCTAGGATTTCATACCAGGTTGTTATCTTGTATAAACGTGTAGCTTATACAAGAGATATCAACGAGAAATCAATTTTATTAGTTTAAGATGAAGTAGAAAGAGCTATTAAACATTACGTTCTACACTACTTAAGTACTAACAGGATTTAACATATCTTCACTAGTAGGCTGTGCGGACTACGTCCGGATATTTTATATTTTTTTTAAACCCAAATAATGTTTCCCAAACACAACAGACCTGCTTTTTCATCTCATTAGATATGAAATTACAAAAATCCTCTCTTAGCATTTGTAATCAGCGCTTTTTAATGTCCCACTGTTGGACACGGGCCTCCCAATACAATGATCAGGCTATAGCCCATCACGGTGGCCAAATGCAAGTTGGCGAACTTCAGATGTCTTAAAAAAATTGCGAGGTTCTCTAAGGCATGCAGGTTTCCTCACAATGTTTTCCTTCGCCGTAAGACAAGTGGTAATCATGTTGGAAATGATTGCAAAATATCACAGGTGCAAGACCCGGGATTTGAACGCACTTCACTCGGTTTCCCAAGCGAGCGCGTCACCACTGAGCTAACATTGCCAATTCTGTCTTAGCATTTACCTTATACTTTTATTACAGAAAAAAGCTCTCCATATTTGAGACCTTTGTAGTTTTCAGGCTATTTCATTTAGTCAATTTCAGCCCTCGAGTGATTTATCAAATTTCTGGGTGATGAAGAATCAGTCAAAATAAGCAGCTTTATATTAAGATATAGATTACATGATAATGAAAATGTATTTACCTTCGCCGGCAAAAACGTATCCAAGTAAGACAATAAAATAGAAAAGTAACGTGGATGTCATGGTGTGAAGCGGAACACGAAATGCAACGGTTCTGTCAACATCATGCCTTATATTCACAGCTCAATTATATGTCTATACTCGTCTCAACGGGACTTGCCATTTTATAGTTTAGAAGCCAGGCTAAGGCGCGATCCACATTATTTCAGTTAGTAATTATATGAAGTGTATCGATTGGCAATAAATAAATAATGATTAAACTGAACGGTACATATTCTATAGATGTATGTATATATTTATTTATAAGTTATATAATTTATAATATAACTAGCAGAAGCCTCGGCTTCGCTCGCGCTAAAACTACAAAAAAACTAAAAAGGTAGTTTTGAATATGTATTGAGTTTCAAGTAATTCTGATCATAAATAATTTTTTGAGTTGTATTATAACGTGTTTTATCATGGGAATGAGATAATTTTCCGCGGTAAAAAGGAGCCTATATCACTTTCCAGCCATCCAACTATCTCCACACAAAAAATCACGCCAATCCGTCAATCCGTTTCGACGTGCAAGAAGGACAAACAAACAAACAAACAAACACACTTTCACATTTATAATATTAGTATGGATTTCCTAAAACACAGTTATAGAATAATATTTTAATCCCTCCACACCGCGAACACGCCGGGGTTACAGTTAACAATAGATTTCTTAGAAATTTAATTAATTTCTTAGAAATTTACTTGGACGTGATAACACAATTCCTTTTTATATATATAGTAGAATTATTGTAGCTTAATAAAATTATAACGAAAATTACGCGATTTAGAATATTCATCATCGTATCGTGAAAAATACAAGACAAAATTTGTAAAACTTACAACAGACTAGGTGCTTTAAATTCTAAAGTAACTAAATCTATAACAAGTAAAACTCCCTAATGTGAAGCGCGCTTTGTTTCAAATAATAGTTTAGTTTTATTGATTCGATATTTGTATCATTAAATTACTAATGTGAGGACAACACAGTAATGTCTATACTTTGGCGTCGACTGTGGTTTAATGACATACAGTTGATTTTTGTTGTCTGATGATAGGTTGGCTTTCGCGTAGATTCTCTGACCTCTAACAGTATTTTTATAATGTTCATTGCATATCGGTTCTTGTTGCTTATTAGCTTGGTACTATTTAGTTTATTTTAGTTTGGTACTTTTTTTACCTTGGTAGTATAGTGGCTAGCGGCTGAACATCTGGAGTTCTTGGGTTCGAGTCCCAGGTCGGGCCAAGTTTAATTATTGAGTTTTTCTGTTAAGGACACCACAGTAACAGCTCGGAATTGAGAAGTTGTCGGTATTTTACCCCTTTTACCCCTGTGCCTCGGAGTATACGTAAAACCTTCGGTCCTACGCCTGATCTCTCATTGGTCGTGTCCACTAGTCGTCCCACCGGAGTATGAGAGTGACAGGAATAAAGAGTGCATTTGTGTTTGTGCGCATGTTCGTGCACTATGAAATCATCTCGTGCGCAGATGGCTAGTCTCAATAAGATTGGCTGCCGTGGCCGGAATCGATTAGGAGAGCATCATCACTTTAATACTTCGTCAACTTGTTGTTATCTTTTTAGTCAGATTTTATGCAGTCAGAATTTTTTATTTTGTATTGTTTTATAACTTTTAAGCTTCGGTTTTCAGTAGATTACTGTTTTTAAAGGTAACTGTTCATTAATATACTGGGAAGTTTCCTTAGGATACATTGTATAGGTATTGCTAGAATACTGAATTACAGTTAAAATCTAAAAGTATGAGCGATGCAAAGACGCGGGTACGCGTTTTTGTTTAAATTCCTTGAAGGCATTTAAAACAATTCGATAAGGAGATATTGTCCAAAAGTGCGCTGTTGAGCACCAAATTACTACTATACTGTATAAGTTGCATCTATACATATAATTAAATAGTAACGAAGCGCAATCTGTACTGTATATCTGTTTATTTGTTTGATTTTCTTTTTCACCCAAAGAGAATACTGAATAGATTTTAAATGAATTTTGTGTAGCGACAACTTATTACTGGGGTCAACATTTATAAGATTTGCAAACGTTTTATTACAGGAAAATATCTAATTCTCACGCGAAAACACAATAATTGATTTGGCCGGGTTGTCCTTTATACAAAAATATCAATGATTTATTACATAAATATTATTAAAAAAATTACAATTCAATGCAGTAAAACTCTTTCATTTTCCTACGAAAATACAAATTTTAGTTCAGGCGCAACTCGCTCATTTACTTGTTAAGAGGCCTAAAGGAAAGCCCGCGATAGCTGGTGTATATCATCTTCTAAGGTATACTCACAATATTTTTTTTATACTAAAACATACCTAGATTATGCATCTCAACCTAGGGACGCAAAAAAATAAATGGCTATTTAATAATAATTATTAAAATAAATATTTTATGTGACTAAAAATAAGACGAACTTTTTCGGTGATTTGACAAAAAAAATGTGTTATTGTTTATACGTTAAAACAATGTACTAGAAAATCGTAGGCCTAAAAAAGAGAAAAGCCCATGTATTTTGTCTGTCTCTTCAAACAACATACAAAAATACTATTTATTAACCGACTTCCAAAAAGCAGGAGGTTTGTCTCAATTCGTCGGATTTTTTTTAAAATGTATGTTCACCGATTACTTGAAGACGCCTGAATCGATTTGCTTTTTTTTTGTTTCAAAGGGTATGTCGGTGCCAGCCGACAATATTTTAAGATATGAATATCTAATTGGTAAATATGTACTTTACATATCGAAATATATTAGATTTGCTTTGCATCAGCTGGCGCCGACTTCGAAAATATCTGATTAGGTATCTATTCTAAATGAAAACCCCGGTTTAGTTATTTTTCACATTTTAGTGCCTGGAAGTCGATTTTTTTAAAAGTATTTATATCTAATTAAAACGTACCGAGGGATGCACCCGATAGTATGGTATTATATTATTAGGTATATTTACATATCTACACTGTATGCAATATATGCATGGGGCATATATACAGAAAAAACACGAAAAATTGATATCTAAAAATATATATGAGAGTGACATATTATGATTCTATAATATCCGATGCAATGTGTTATTTCAATACAATTTTCAAAATTTCTATTCTCTAATGATTTTAGAATGACATCTTGTCGAAGCCCCCTTGATTGCTTATTTCATCAAGATATTGAACTCAGTACCGTAAAAAAGTAGTAGGCCAAATCATTATAATAAAATAATATTGATATAAATACAAAATATTACAGATTTATATTTTGGCGTATTAGGCGTGATCATAAATGTTCATTTAATGTTTTAGCTTTAAATTTATTTTAATGAATAAACAATCAATAGACTATTTGTGAATTGGCGAAACATTTTAGAAATAAAACGAAAAATGTAGAGAAAGACATCTTTTAATAAAACGAGTTCATGAACATAATAGAAATCGATAAAAATGGACACAGTCATCTCAAATTCTACTATTGACAAATTATCTCCCCAAGTTTCGGGAAAAACAGCGACGTTGCTACTATTCATTGAGAAAACATTTTATACAGCAATATAAATATTAAATTAATAAACTACTTAATAATAATTTTAATTTACTATTAGTAAAAACCGTTGTTAAGAGCATGTGATTGTGTGGCCTGGATTCCAGGAGCATTAATGCTGCTAGCATCACTCTGCTGCTGGTACCTGCCATGTTGTTGCGCTGACCGGGCGAAACTAGATCCAAATCCACTATTGTTGTTTGCTGCAGAAATAGCTGCGCCGAAGTTATTTAATCCTTGGTTCTGAGAGAATGATACAGCTGAACCATATCCACCAATATTCTGTGCAGCAGACTGTGCTACTCCAAAACCTAAGCCGTTCGAATTTACACTAGATACCGCAGAATCATATCCGTTACGTCCGTTGTAGGCTTGAGATGCATCAGATTGATGATTTCTTATACCATTGTTCTGAACAGCCGATGTAGCTGATCCGAAGCCGTTGTGATTTTGAGCAGAAGATAAGGATAGTCCTGAATTGCCAAAGTTTTGTGCAGCTGAAAATGCTGTTCCATAGTTTGTCCCAAATGAATTGCTGAACGCAGAAGCAGCGGACTGTTGTAATCCTTGAGGTAGATGAGAATGATGAGGTACAGCATGAGTGTGGCTGACTCTGTGGGCGTTATTTCCTGAGGAAGCGAAACTAGCGCCGTGTGCTCTGTTGCCGCCATTTTGGGATGATAAAGCTGAAGTTCCACTTGATTGGCTGATACCACCGATATTGTTGATAAGCCGGTTGTTAAACCCAATTGCTAAATGCGGAAGCCCAGCAGCTCGCCCAATGAAAGTTGGAAACGCGTTACTAATCGCAAGCACAGAGAACACAACAGATAGCTTAGCGATCATTTTGACGTCTCAAAACTAAACTCCTAGTTTCTTAAAACTAGACTTCTTAAGTCTAGACCTATCTGCGTGTAGTGTATCGGTAAATCATTTCTCCGAGCTTATATATTAGAAATAATCTCCCCACTTTTGTCACACGGCCAATTTTAAGATATTGTCATTCATAAAGTATTACGGTAAAGCTATAGATCCCATTGGGATGATACAATATACTGAGAATTAGTATGTAAAATAGTATAATAAATAAGATTTTATTTATTTAGCTTTGTCAGTTTCGTGGCTTGCGCTTTTTTATTATTTTAAATAAACCGATAAATTTTTTATTTAGCAATGCTTTTATGAAGAATCGAATTAGAAAATAATTTATGGTTTTAAAGAAAATAAAGGGTAGATTCTCACTAACGTAAATAAGGGTAGGCAATTATTTAACCAGAATAAAACATTCATGAGTTCTAAATATTAAAAAATGTTTGTTTAAAAGTTTTATTTTGAAACTTTAGATACGTTTTAACGGTAAGTATAGAATAGACTATATACACATATAATATGTGCCATGTACATTAATAGGTATAGAAAAGTAGGTAAGTATTATAAAAAATAAAAAATTATATATCCCTTACTTGAGAAATGATTGATTCAGTACTTTAGTACGTAGACATAGATATTCATAGTGCTTTGATTTGGAATTTGTATAAAAATACGTAGCAACAAAGTCATAAATTTCTAGTCGCTTAACTTTAGATAATTAGGTTGGACGAACTCATAAAATCTTCATTTAATGACATGCTAAAGATAAAGATAAACGTGGTCAAGAAGATTGTAATTCATATTCCATCATAATTATTATTGTCATTTTAAACTAGTAGTAGATGCGACTTCATTCTATGTAGGTATGAATAAATAATAACTGTGTATGAAACATCAAGTCGATTAAACCGTTTAGTAATTACCAGGGAACATAGGATCGGACCTACATACCTACATATTTACATACATACGTACAGGTCAAACAATAAACCTTCCTTTGATCTTCGCCACAGTCGGGTAAAACATTCAGATTGGTCGGATTTTTACCTCCTTACGGGATTAATTACAATTAAAATTTTTAGCCTCAAACCTTACCATCTTTTACCCTTCAATAGATGAATTCTGAAAAAATCTGATATACGTATAGTTTTGTTTTTTTTTTTATTTTAAAGTTACCTTTTAGGTATGGGCTGGCACCGATTTCGAAAATATTTGATTAGGTATGTATTTAATAGGTAGGCTTTAATTAGCCAAATCACACCGACTTCGAAAATATTTGATTAGGTATGTATAGTAAATGAAAACTACCAATCAGTTATTTTTTACTTTTTAGTGCTTTTGTTTGAAGTCGGTTTTTATTTTTTTGTTAAAAAGTTTTTATTTTTCCCTTTTTAGTGTAGACAGTAGTAGCAAAGTAAGAATTTTAACGCGTTAGGCTTGTCAAATCAAACAAAATAAGCATAAACTCAAAGTATCTACTATTAGCCCTTGAAGAGTTCCACCTTCTGGCCTTACCATCAGATCAGGTCAACAATACCGAACCACTGTACTATCAACTGAAATAGAAACACTTGCAAAATTTCAAGTCAATATGACAATTAGAAGTAGGTTAAATTCAACATTAGCTATTTTTCCACCGTTAGGGATGGTATTATTTTTTGAAATTTAAATGGGACCAATCTGGAAGTGTACACTTTCAAACAACACAAAAATTGTCCAAATCGGTTAATAAATGACGGAGTTCTGAGGTAACAAACATAAAAAAAAATACAGTCGAATTGAGAACCTCCTCCTTTTTGAAGTCGGTTGAAAATTCATATATAGTTAACGTATATATCTATTTATGTACATGTATATATAAAATAAAATCGTCAACATAATAGGATCTTTTATATTTATCCGCTCATATTATACTAGCATTGCCCGCGGCTCCGCCCGCGTTCCTATGACCAAAAAGTAAAAACCAAATTCTTAGGTTTTACATATTAGTATACTCTTACGTTGCAGTTTATGTATTTTTTCTCAGAGATAAAATATTTTCTCGCGATAAAAAGTATCCTACATGTTGACCCGGATAACCAGCTATCATCATACCAAATTTCATCAAAATCCCTCCTATGGTTTTTCTGTGATGCGGTAAAAGACTGACAGACAGACAAACAGACAGACAGACAGAGAAAAATTCTAAAAACTATAGATTCGGCCTATGTATCGATAATAATGTCTATTTCAATAAGATTTTCCAAAAAATATTTTATGTACAGATTCGGCTTAGTTGCAATTTTATTATATGTATATGGTAGATTAACGTATTATGTGAAAACGGGCACGGTATAAAAACTCAGTGTTTTTTATGCCAAAAATATATTTACAATAGTATGTAGGTATACCATAAAAGAAGTTAATCCAGTGGAAGGGAAGACAAAACTTTTACAAAAAGTGTGGAAAATGTAGTTACTAACATGGCTTTTTGATTACATTTGATCTGATAGTTCAATTGGGAGCTTAATCTTCAAAGTTTTCGTATGAGAGTTACAAAACTGGGTTTACTTACTACTTTTTAGTATATTTATACTTTTCACAATAAAAAAAATGTCATAAATTCTTTCACTTCCTTTATTTTGCCACTGGTGGTCCGAACGAGTGAAGTTAGGTGTACATCTAATATTGAATAGCTACACAAATATAATAAAGAGGTAAAGTTTGTTTGTTTGTAAACGATAAACTAAAAATCCGCGGCACCGATTTAAAAGAAATTTTGTATAAAGATAGTTTAAGACCTTGGGAAGGACATAGGATAGTTTTTGTGCCGGAAGTCATCATTAAAGGGGTGTAAAAGGCATCCACTTTAACAGTGAATCAATCATTTCTCAAGTAAAGAACGTAAAACTCATCATACCTATACTAACAATTAAAATGTACCTAGAACGGACGAACCCGAGCGAAGTGAGTTTTTGAATATTTTTATTTTGGGATGCTTTTAGAATGTCCAGCTAATCGTAATTGAGAACAGCTGTGATATTTCCAAAGAAACTTTGTGAAAGGGGAACTTAATTGCAAAACCTTTGAATAAAGTCAGTAATCCATAATATGATTTTTTAGCTTTTGTTAGGCTTTACTTTTGTTTTTAGAAGACATTCATTATATTGAAATACATACCTATGTTTATTAATTTTATCTGATAGTTGAGTAAGCGAAAAGTTTCTGGGAACTGTTCTAAGAACAACAAGCAAGGCATTCTATTAATGTATATAGAATTTAAATGTAGGCATAATAATAATAATTAAATCTGCATGTATTAATTGCCATATGACAATTGTATTTTTTAATATTTCAGTACAAGCTAGCAAAAAAACTCGACTGCGATTGTTGTCATTGAAAAAAATGTAGTCAAGTTATAAATAACTTATTATATTAAAAAAATAATACAATTATTTGCTTAAGTCAATATAGAAATGGTGACTAACTTCGTAATTTTTACAGTAATGTTTGCACACTAATACTAACTAAAGTAATAATATAACTACTTTATATTCTACACTCACAAAATATTTCATTTTTATCGCTTAGGGCAAGATATGTGTGTAGGTATGCTAAGTGGTTTGGATTTTTTCAAAAAATCAATAGCATTTGGCTAAAAGGGATAGAGTTACCCCCATAAAAATTGTAATTACATTTTCATTATTATGATTAATTCAATAAATTCAATAAAGTAAAACATTCCATGTTTTTATATCAATAATGTCAAGCTTTTTAAATGATATGTTGAATTAGTGATTTCATTATTTAACAATAAAACAAAATATATAGAGAAAACAGCCTTTTATTGAAACCAGGTAACTACAAAATAATACAAAAGACACTGACATAAGTGTGTAACAATCATGTCAATGTCCTCAAATCTGACTGACGATCACTGAATTGCCTAAAGTGGGGCAATATAGCATTCGTAGCATCTTTTCATGTAAACCCATTTTACAATATAAATATTAAATAAATAAATAATTTAAAATTAAAAAGGACTATCAGTAATAGCCGTTATTAATGGCATGAGATTGTGAGGCCTGAATTCCAGGACCGTTAATACTGCTAGCACCGCTTTGCTGCAAGTGTCTGCCATGTTGCTGTGTTGTCTGAGCGATACTAGATCCAAAACCGCCATTGTTGTTTGAAGCGGAAATAGCTGTGCCGAAGTTATTTAATCCTTGGTTCTGAGAGAGAGATAAAGCTGAGCCATATCCACCAATATTCTGTGCAGCAGACTGAGCTACTCCATAACCTAAGCCATGCGAACTCGCACTAGATACTGCAGAATCAAATCCACTGCGACCGTTATAGGCTTGAGATGCGGCAGTTTGGTAATTTCCTATACCATTGTTCTGAACAGCTGATACTGCTGTTCCAAAGCCGTTGTGATTTTGAGCAGATGATAGAGATAATCCTGAGTTCCCGAAGTTCTGAGCAGATGAGATTGCTGAGCCGTAATTTCTTCCAAAGGAATTACTAAATGCAGAAGAAGAAGACTGATGTAGTCCTAAAGGTAGAATTTGATGGTAAGGGCTCGCACGAGCGTAGCCTATACCTTGTGCTAAATTTCCATCGGAAGCGATGCCAGCGCCGTACGCATCAGCGTCGCCACTTTGGAAAGAGGCTCCAATACTATTAGACTGGCTGATCCCACCAATATTACTACTGAATCCACTGCCGAACCCAAATGCTACGTTAGGAGCACGAGCTGTACGCCAAATAAATGCTGGCATATCGTTTTCTGAAAATAAATTATGTACAATTATAATAAACACATAATAGTTTAAAACTTAGAGAACTGTGAAAACTTAATCTTTTATTATCCCAAGAAAAAAAAATATAATGTGGTATTTATTATATTTTTGAATTATTTAATAAAATAATCATATTATCTTTACATATGTTATGGATAGTTTTACATATATATTTTTTATATTTATAGTTATTATTAATACTTGTCGATCATTAAATGACCGTTTTAACTTACCGTATACTAGAATCGGCAATGCTCTGCTAACCGCGAGCACTGAGAGCACGATAGAAAGCTTGCCGATCATTATGATTTTTTTTACTTATTAGACCTTTCACCGTAATGTGTGATGTACAAGTGAATCATTTCTCCGAGCTTATATACTAAAGATGAGCCCCCCACTTTCATCATTGGGTCAATATCAAGATATTGACACTCATAAATTAGTATTACGGTAAAGCTACATATCCCGATGGAGTGATACCATAAATTACAAATTAATATGTAAAATAGTATAATAAATGTGTATTATAAACTTTTCAATATCGCAAATGAACTGGATGATCCAGTTCACAATTGTTTATTGCTTTACGCCAAATTAATAGAATAGGTTTAGATACCGCCATAACTACAACAGTCAAAGCATTTATGCTTAACTTCTTATTATACGAGTTAATGTAGAGTTTTGCCATAAATTATTTTACTCGTATATGGTATATGGAAATATTAAACAAAAATATAATTTATGTTTCAATTTTTAATTTAAGTATGTAAATATTTTTATTTTTCTAATTTTTTAATTCCAATTTACAAAAAATCAATCATTTTTCCGAATCCGAACAAAATTCACTGACTATATATGTATATATTATACTAGTATATAATGATACTAGCAAAATTAACATCTTATCGGTATAAAGCTTTTAATAATTTCTAGTGATCCTTACAATGCATCTACGTGGAGGGTCAAGAAAACTTTTGGCTAATTTAATTTCTAACAGTGTGGTAAATTTTATTTCTTGGTTGGACAGGTGTGTATTAAACATCAAAATCGATTCAGCCGTTTTGATATGAAGGAGTAAGGCGTACACACATTTGTGATTATTATCCCCACACGAGGATGTAGCCCTGTTTGAGAGGTGTACCATACGGGTTGCTCCTGGTTCTTCTCTGATACCAGAATGAACTGCAGCAGCAACTCCTGGGTTGTTGTTGTCTGCTTCGTAAGACCTGCCGTCAAGGCGTCATGGTTAAGTGCGTTAGCGATCCTGCGACACCCCATTAAGACGGGAAAGATTCTGTTGGGTTTTAGTGGGTAGTACTGGCTTTTCTAACTGCTAGTTCTGTAACTTTATTTCGGCAGTCCCTTTCAGAACTGATACACACGGTATTATTCAAGCTACTAGTAGAGTTTTTGTTTTTTACAAACATTAAAAGTAATTTTATAATACAAATAAAAAAACTATTATTTTTACTTTAAATTCAATATAGTTTTTATTTAGTAACTAAGTTCTAAAACTCCAATACTGAAAGTATTAAAAGGTATACTTGAAATTATAATCTGTTTGCTTTATACCAACAACATATAATTTAAACAAACTATTAATATCATTGAATCTCCAATAAACAGTTCATTGACTATGCAGTAATTATAGCTTCCTGTGAATATAAACATAAAGCACTTTGGACTTACTTTGAATTATTAAATTAAAAAGCGGTTGAATAAAATGTTAAGATTTAGAATTTAGATAAAATACTATAGGCGTGTCTAATTATGACGAATATCGTGCATTTTTATGTAACAATACCAACCCACTCTGATATTCTTCTGATTTTAAGAAGCTTGATTTATAAAGTATGGTTTCCGTTTTAGTTATATAAGTATATTACAAATTATATACATACATACATAATATGTATTTTAATTCCTGCCCAGTTTATTAACTTTCTTTGCAAGAATCATATCTATATGAGGCACGGTTGCCATAAAAAACGCTTGTGTCTTTAGAATATTAGACCATAACTTTATTTAATTTAAGAGCCTAACTTAACTTTGTAAGGCCTTTAAAAGCTTAACTTTTTTTAAAACATTTTTATATTTAAATGCTCTAAAAAGAAGAAAATAAACTTTAAATCAAACCCATTAATTTATTACATTACACAATTTATTTGATATAAAAGCTTGTCGCGAGATTTACCTGTGTAGATAAACAAGAAACAAAATGTTATTTTTTTTTAAATAGGCAACAAACTTTTATGTCATATAAATTGTGTAATTTAATAAATTGTTAGGTTTGATTTGATTTAAAGTTTATTTTCTTCTTTTTAGAGCATTTACATAAAAGCTTGTTTTTAAAAATATTTATTTACAATTAATTTAATTTTTTATTTTTTAGTTATTCGTATTCTTCTCAACAAACCCTTTCATTTGATATCCATGTCATGGGGGTGCATAAAAAAACATAGTTCGCCACCTTTGGGAGTCCGTCAAATTGGACTTGTAATGACGTCACTTTGCTTATTGTGTTTCGCTCATCAACCTCTTTCATTTGACGCCCACATCATATGGGTCACTATGCAAATGATAAATCGCCATTTTGTAAAGTCCGCCATATTGGAATTAAAATAGCGGCATTTAAGTAATCGTGTATTGTATCGAGACCTAAACTAGAGTGCCAAATTTCATTCTCCATCTTCAGTTTACTTGACAAGAGTAGGAGGTCTTAATCTTTAAAATAAAGAGCCTAACTTAAATGGAATGACTCATACTCATTCATCAACATGTAAAATGTTAATAATATTTTAGAACAGCTTTTACTCTTATAATACTGAACTAGTTTCTGCCCGCAACTTCGATCGTGAGTAAACAAAGTTTAATAAATAGCTGAGGTATTTATGCAAAAAGTTTTAAGTACTTTAAAAAAACTTGAAATCATCCCCTATTTTTCTTTGATTGGTTATAAACGTCGAAATATGTTTTATTTCTTACCAAAATTATAGGATGTAATGATTTTTTTCCCAATACACTGTTTTAATTTTACATTTCAATCCCTATTTCACCCCTTTCAAGTTTCATTTTTGCGACAAAAAAGTATCCTTTGTCCTTCTTCAAGGCCCCGTCCCTCTTAATACCAAACTTTATCAAAATTGATTCAAGAGTTTAGGCTTGAAAACGTAATGGACAGATAGGCAGAGTAACTTTCGCATTTATAATATTAATATGAATTATAAAACTTTCGTTGAAAAAACATTAATATTACCGTTGCGCAGCCACAGAGGCCAGCATCTATAATTGAGGTACATAATAAAAAATATACCTACACAAGATGCAATTACGATCGACATAGAGCAAAGGTAATACTATTAAAAAAACATATTTTTTTATTGCCAGATTTTTTTTTCAATATTTAGAAGCTACTTACCCTCGCTTCTTTTGGGTGCGCTCCTAAATGCCTAACAGGAGTAGTAGTAGTAGTAGTAGTATACTATAAGTGAATTTCTTTCCGAATACGATTAAAGTTATTGTGATTTTTGACAGAAAACACATTTTTATTGAAATAAATATTATTATGTATATATATAGTTATATTCCAATACAGTGCATGCACGGCGGCAATGTAGCTTCCTTATTAGTGAAAGAATTTTCAGAATCGGATTTGCAGTTTCAGATTACCGATCCCATCAAAACAAAATAAACAAACTTGATTAAAGTTACTTTTGTTACTTCTTGTTTAATAATATTAGTGTACGTTACAAGCATTTTTTTTCAGATTTTAGACTTTACACACAGACAGACATTAGACGTTATTGCTCATACAAAATATTGGGTACATATTTTTAGTATCCTCGTAAATAAAAATAATAAGTCTGCAAAGTAGCTGGTACTAATTTGTATGTAGGGACATTAACACACAGCACCATCTAGGTCCATGGTAAGATACGAGGCTTGTGTTATGGATACCAGATAGTTGATACACTACACATATATTACTTTTAAATATATACATATTATAAATATAAACACTCCTGACTGGAGTACAAACATTCGTGCTCATCACACAAATGAATACTCCCAGCGGGACTCGAACCTGCGACCGATGGCACAGCAAGTAGGGTCACTACAAACTGAGCCAAGTGTCGTCGAGTCAATTTTATTATTAATATAAATACAATACTAAGTTGTGGCACTGTGTATCTTTTTAACTTTTCGTAACTTTCCGTATTTTTTTAAGGAGCGACTTTCCCTCGGTTCACTCGGGTGTGTTCCTGAATGCCTAATAGAAGTCAGAATAACACATAGGTGTTATTCCAAATCATAGTCATCTATTGCTAAACATCCAAATTGTGAAACCGTTCAAGTTTGAAGGCAAAGTGACGTCATTCTAAATCTAACATGGCGGACTCCCAACGATGGCGAACTATGTTTTTTTTATGTACCCCCATTATATGGATATTAAATGAAATGATTTGTTGAGAACAATACAATACCTAAAAAATAAAAAGTAAACTTTAAATTAAATCAAACTCATTTATAACACAATTTAGATATAAAAGCTTGTTTTTTTAAATATTTTTTTTATATATTATAATAGTAGCCCGATACCCATTGTTAAGAGGACCAACAAATACACTTTTGAATTTATAGTACTAATAAGAATGGTCTAGAAGCATGTACTAATGCAGATAAGCTGCAGACAGCTAAAGATTATGGATTTAAGTCCCGGGTAGGCCGTAATAGCCTATAAGCATTGTAGTAATATTTCTTTAGAATATCTTAATAGTAGTTTAAGATGAACGAAAGCAAGTTGAAGTATTTACTTCCCCGACCCTTGGAGAGCAAGTTTTTTTTTTTTATTTATTTATACTGACACACCTCCGATGTGGGAGTCGGAGTCCTTGTTTACAATTTTTCTTACTTGCTATTACATTGTTTTTTAAGCGGTATTCTACATATAGTCTTACTTTCTATTTGTACTTTAGATTTACAGTATTTTTACATTTTCCTTATGATTTATCTTATTATTACTAGTATTTGTTATTTTTATAACTTATTACATATTCCTTATTTCTATTACATATACTTACTTAGTTCTATCTCTAACATTTTACTTTGGAGAGCAAGTTAAGATGATGATCCTACGACTCATCTATTATCACTTGTTGAACCATACCACAGCTGGACTACAAGAGTGAAAGGAATACATAGTGCACTTGAGTTTACACGCATACTTGCACACTATAATATCCTACTACCTGTTATATGTCTCAGTGAGATTTGAGATCATGCTCTCTGGAGGACATTTTTTTATAATGATGGATAGGTTAGACACTTGTCAATTTAGCATTGTGTTAATGTTACTCTCACGTTTTAAACCTAGACAAGTTTTTAGTTGTAGTATAGTTAGAAGTAGTACTTAATGCATTCAATTCTAAGACTTTCAATTTTTGACTTTGATTCCAAACGAAAAAAAATTGCTTTAATTTTAGACTAATTCACTATGTATCAATTCATTTAAAATATATTACAGATTCGAAGAAGGCTATCAAATTTGCATTACGTTTTAGTTTATTGGTTAAAGAATTGGTATTTATAAAATGGCACCCGATTTTTTCTAATATCGATTAAATACAAAGTTGAAAGCACAAATCAACTGATACATAAAATATTTGCTATTTGAATCAGTAAATTATATATACTAAATAATTAATTAAAAATAGCAATAAAAAAGATACTTTACGACCCCATTAAGATATGAAGCAAATAATTAGAACATTAATGGGAATAAATCTAATATATTATGTAAACATATAACGGTTTTACTATTTAATATAGTTTTTTATACCAATAGATTATTTTAATTACAAGCTTTATTCTGTAAAATGTAGCATTTTATTTCGTTTCAACAAATTACTCATATAAGAATCAAACTTGTGGCCTCTATTTCAGTCGATAATTTGGCTACTGCGGCTATCAATCAATTAGAACATGTAAAATATTAAATAAAAAATGTGTATACATTGCCATCTATAAATATGCAGTACAAAAAGGAAGATTTTTCAGTCATTGATTCCAAAAATACTTATTAGTCTGTATGTGTGTCTTTTATGTATTTAGCCTTCTTTAACTAGTTTTTTCAATATAAATGAAAATATCCACATGAGTTTAGAATCTTGAGTATTTAGAATTTAAAAGAAGTAGAATGAAATAATAATCTATTTTAAAGGAGCTGTTGAGGGCCTGACTTTTTTTCAAAAATTGTACATTGTACACATTATTGTATTAATATTTATAATAAACTTTCGAGACATCATATGTTAATTCAAAACAAGAAATATATTTGGCAGTAAGCATTTAAATTGGTAGTTTTTGATAAATGGCTATTACAAAAAATATACTATTTGAAGAAAGCTATAAGATGTTAAATATAATTGTTTTGAACGAACTAAAGATCTTTCAGAAAATTGCAATAATTTTATGGAAAATAATATTTATTATTTTATTTTATTTTAAATCTTATATTTATAGTTACAAATATTATCACAGCGTCATTTAAAGCATACAAATACATTATTCCTTTTCTTTATTAGACCGGCCGTACTCTTCGTCATTTTCTTCATACATAGGCTTAAAACCTTCTTCATCATTAAAACCAAAGGGTTTTTGGAAACCATATCCTCCTTGACCACCATGATAGTTTCCATTAAATTGGTTATTATATGAGCCATATCCGTTACCAAAATAACCAGGTCTATTATACTCATTATTTCCATGGTAACCGTTGTAACCATTGTACTCATTGTATCCATTGTAACCATTATAACCGTGGTAGGCATAGTTAGGATAACCATTGTTATATTGGTAATTATTTGGATAGCTTCCACTACTGTATCCTTCACCTCCAGCACTAGACGAAGACTGAGATTGGCTTATACCAATATTTATCGGAGGGATAGGATAGCCCTGGTTATAACCTTGGTTATAACCTTGGTTGTACCCTTGGTAACCACCATAGTTGCCTTGGTTACCACCGTGACCTCCTTGATAACCGCCACATATGCCAAACTTGTAACACAGTTTGTTTTGTAGATGTCTTGGTTCTCTTTTTATTTCTGTAATTAAGAAATGGTAAATAAAATAAAATAAAACGAAATTTGAACTCAATTGTTGTATAAAAATAATAATTTTTTAAATATAATATAGGTAATTAGACAATTTTAAAGATAATTTTAGTAAAGTTATAAAATATGATTAATTTTAATTATTTTATAATATAGTAACCTTATAAATTATTTCAAAATGCACATTTTGTATAAAAAATTGGGATAAGATATCAAAGTTTTCGATACAACTAACGGTATCGTGAATATCGATAGTGATTACCTTACAATGCAATTAGCAATAAATCTGAGTAAATTATTACCTTCACTCAAAGCAGGGCCCACAGCCACTATGAATAAGTAGAGCAAGATATTTGCCATGTTGTATTCCGTTAGAACTTTGAACTGTGAATTTTTTTCGCATCAAATAAGTTTTATAGCCCAATCCGACGAGGTCGACTCCCACATTGTAACTATATCGGAATTTCCCACGGAAGTAAGGATTTTTTTATTGCCCTTACATAGAAATGATGCGGAAGTTTGAGATCGTTGATGTCTTTTGCTTGAAAGAGCTTTGTATAAAGAATAATATATGTAAAACCTCAAAATAATGACCTAGGTAGATAATAAAAATACAGTTATAATAAAATAAAATAATTTTTGCAATCTATAATTTAATAAAAAAACCTTGAGTAATATTTTTAAGCTGATATTGCTTTAATATAATAGGCAATGGTAGCCTAGTGGTAACGCGCTCGCTTTGGAAACCGAGTAAAGCGGGTTCAAATCCCGGGTCTCGCATCTCTGATATTTTCAAGTGTGAATTATTTCCAACATGATTACCACGTGTTTTATTGCGAACCTCAGTAAGACAAGTTATTTAAATTAAATTTATGTCACAGAGAACCTAGCAAGTTTTCGAAAGACATAGTTATGAAAACCGATTAGCCCGCATTGACAAGCGCGGTGGACTATGGCCTGATCCCTCGTATTGAAGGGAGGCCCGTGCTTAGCAGGGGGACGTTAAAAATTGCTGAGTACATTACTTTAATTATTTTAATTTATTTATTATTCGTAAGTGGAGGGAAAAATATATTATACCATAGGCAGTAAACCTCAAAACGATAGTTTCGTTATACTGTTTAAGACGTGTAATATTACATATACATTGGTATATTCCTTTACTATGTGCTTTAACAGTTATGTAAATAATTTTAATATATTTGTAAAACATTACTTTTGATGTTCAAACAGATCTCAAAGTCATCAAAATTTGAATTTGAGTTTAGATTTACCTTAATGTTTGCAATTAGTCTAGACTAAGACTGAGTGTTTAATCGTAGCATTTACGGTTATCAGTTATATGTACCTACAACATATTTACGTTTAAAATAGAAACATTAAAAAAACTATAGATTACACTGGTGACTTACCCTTGCTTCACTTGCATAGTGATATGGTATTAGGTATCTAATAGTAGCCTATGTATAAACGTCGGGAAACAAAAATCCAAATAAATCCGCGACAAAATCCACAAAGATAGTTTTATTTAATAGCCTATGTGTCATAACAGGCCATAGATTATTTATATACTAGACATCCAAATCTTTCCAGCGGTTTCAGCCTAAAGAAGGAACAAACATACAAACTTTCGCATTTATACCTAACTAGCGGCTCACCCTCGCTCGGGTTTGCCTCTAGACAAACAAAAACAAATCTATCGCACGGGAACCGTACATTTTTCCGGAATAAAAAGTAACCATATAGCTAGCCATAGCACTAGTATATATTTTTAATTCTAATGTATGAACTCTATTATTGTAAAGTTTCATTAAAATTCAATCAGTAGTTTTTGTGTACTAAGCTGTATAAGTTTCTATAGTTTTTTAACTATCCCACGGGAACTATTTTATTTCCGGATGAAAAGTGTCTAAAATATTGACCGGGGATATAAGGTACCGCCATGCAAAATTTCATTAAAATCGGTCTAACAGTTTCGGAGATTAGCCTGTACAAATAGACAAACAGACAAATAGACAGAGAAACAAAAAAAAGAAAAAAACCTGGATTTGTTCTATTTCTCTTATTACATCCCCCTGACTCGGTTTTTAGCATTTTTTTGACAGACATTGGACCTCTACAGTTTTATTATATGTATAACTGTTCGATTATTTAATAAAATAATAATTTTATTACAATAATAATTATTTACATGTTTTTTTCTGTCGTTAGTAATTAAAGATCTACTTATAAGTTAATTGTCACAGAATTGTTTAGACAACCTCCAATTATTTTGTTTCATATAATATGATACTTTTATGAATGTTACTAAATATATACATATAATAAAATTCTAACTGAGCGGAATCTGTACATTAATTTTTTTTCGGGAAAATCTTAATGAAATAGTCATTATTATCGATACAGAGTTTTTACAATTATTGTCTGTCTGGGAACGCATCACGAGAAAACCACTGGACATATTTTGATTTTGGTATGATAATATTGGTATGCTGGTTATCCGGGTCGACTATATTTATAAGATACTTTATACTGAGAAATCCATACTAAACGTTAAAACGTTAACGAGGGACGAACCCGAGCGCAGCAAGAGCAAGTCGCTAGTATATTACAAAGAGGGTCTTTATAGTTCAACTGTTTTATTTTTTTTATTCCTAATAATAAATATATTAACTATACTCGTAGTCCTATTAAGTAACTACTTCTCCAAAGTTAATACAATAAGACCACTATTTATTAGAAAACCGGTGGATATGAGATTTGCTGGAATCTCACGTAGAGTGGATAAACTAGCTCGATCGTAAAATAAAGTGGAGATAATAAATGTCGAGATTGATCGCCCGTTGAATACAAAATTGTCAATCTAATTGAGTTTTATAGGATTTTGTAAGGAACTAATAAACAGTTCACTGAACTAAGTTCCTAATATAAACTTTATAGCATAGTAATAACTGTCTTGTTGTGATGTGGGAGTGCTGTTAGATCTCTTACGTTTCCGATTTAGAACGTACATATGTCTATCGATTAATTTTATTTTATTTATTTATTTATAACACTTTATTGCACACGAAAATAGTACATTAACATAAAAAATACAATTAAAGAGATGTGCAAAGGTGGCCTTATCACTAAAAGTGATTCTCTTACAGGCAACCGATAGAAAATGATATAAGAAAATAAGTGAGATGAGCGGAAAGGTGCATAAAGTGCACCTTTGTAGTTTTATTTTGCTGCCTAACAGTATGCGTTATTGCCTATGTGTTACTCCAGGTCGGTCTTTCTGTATACTAAATGTATCTATTTGTATCTTTCATAGGTCAAACGAGCATGGTCTTTTAGAACATCCTGAAATATAAATAATGTCTGGGAGCAACATCGCCGTAGTTGACTAAGAGAGTAAGAGGTATATACATACCTATATGTAGGAAGCTAATAAGAGGGTTTCCCGTTGAAACGCATATTGAGCATTCACCTTTCATCCACCCTTTCGAAAGCTTAACTTTTGTGCTCCACTCTAGCTAGCCAAAGGCAAGGAACGTTGTTTTCTCTTGGCAATAACATTTCTATTGTGTTTTACGGATTTATTATTGTTATATTAATTTAAAAATATTGTTTTAAATCTTCTGTTCAAGACTTTTCTAATTTTGTCATGATGAAGAGACTTGAAAATTAAAGTCATACTATGTTTTCTTGTGACGTGTGCCCAGTACAATATTGTTATATACCGTACATGTACATACATACATACATAAATACATAAATAAACTTACTGCTAAATAACCATTTTTTAAAATAGTTGTATTTATAAATAATAAACAGTTGTTCTATTGATATCTCATACTAGCAAAATTATAATGGGGTTTTACATATTTTTTTCTTAAATAATTAGTGTAATTAGAGGATAGATTCCACAATTTTTATTTATCATCGGGTGGATAGTTTATATATTTTATTATCCATCCATTAACAGAGGACTACAGGAGATATTTCAATAAAAACTGTACACTGTACTGTACTGTGTACTGTAAACTGTAGGTACCTACATATTTACGCAAACAAAGCCCAATTTAAGGTATTTAGCTGTGCATTAAACTTGAAATACATATTGCATAGATAATGCTATTTCCCAAGACAACAAATAACCAGTTATTTAAAAAATATAAAGCCTGTTCTAATGGAGAATATTTATAAGCATATATCTTATACTATTATGATAATTCGAACATAAAACGGATATAACTAATTAAAATACAATACGGAAAGGTATTTTTTTTTAATTTATTGCCTTATCGCAAAAATATCTACGATAATGATGCTCGCGAGGTTAAACGTGGGTGTCAAGTTTTACAACAAAACATGTTTCTTTTTAAAAAGATATAAAGAGTAACAGTTAATATTAGTATTCTATTTTTCTGCCTTAACCTTATTAATTTTAAATAGGTACATATAAAAAAATCGCTCTAGAATGAAAAAAGAAATATTTCTCATTAAAATGACAAAAAAAATCGCACTAGAATTAATGCCGGCAGGTAATCAATTGTGAATTTAGTTGCTTTGAATCTTATTCTGCTATTGGTGAACTCTAATATTGCCTTTAAATTAAGTATTAGCGCGCAGATTAGTAGCAACTTGTATTAGAACAGATGTAGGACAGTTACCTCTATTTTCATTTTATTTTATTTAATCTCACTTAATATTGGGCTATAGTTTACTTTTAGCAACTTTACATAACATTGTGCTTATTTTTAAACTAGCAATGTGCCCCATCTTTAGTTGGCTGTTTTTACAGAGCATTTATATTTCTTTCTTTGCATTTAAATGCCATACAATATAGTAATCGTAGTTATAAACTACATAACCGCCCCACTAAATGATCATATAAAAATTGAACTCACAATAAATACTGCACAGCTAACGAAATAATAAACAATTATTATAAGCAAATTCTTCACCTATTTCATATTTTTATAATAAAATAATATAATTGTTCATAAATATTTATGCTTAAAAGCGTGTTAATGCTTTTACCCTAAAAGCTCCCATAATATTAAAGAACCTTAAAAATAGAGTTTTGATAGCAGATACTAAAATAAATTTCATGACACTAATAAAGTTTTAATATTATGTTAAGTATATGCTAGTCTACGAAACCTGGATCACCTTTAAATTCCATAACTTCACAATTTTATCTAAATTTGGCGACATCGATAGAAATTATATGTAATAAATATTTCTTAAATCCATGTATTTATAGATACCTATTAGAAATTTTTTCCATTGGCGACAAAAAGTTTAATAAAAATGCAGCTTAACGGTATCATATTTTAGCACGTCAATTTTATAGACTTTGCAATTAAATA